CCAGATGACTTTTTAAAAGTAAACTTTTTTGCCAATTCAAAAATTTTGTTAAACTGCCTAATAGAACATGAACTAGTCAGTTGGCACACAATGTTAGAAATCACAGTAAAATATTACTTGTGTCTTTGAAGAAATACTGCGATTAAACAAATGCTGAAATAGTGTTACTATAGTGTGTGAACTAGCTACCAATGTATTCTGCTTGTTAAATTCAACTCATCTAGAATGTGACAGTTCACCCACTTTTATTACATAGAATCTTATTTTAATGAGATCTTTTAAAGTGATAGAATTTTTAGTTATAGCTTCAAATATTACAGTAAAAGTGAATCAGGCGTTCTACATTCTCACCTCACTAAAGTAAATGATTCTTTTTCCATATTGAAATTCATTAATAGTTATTACTATATCCTGGTTATTAGAGCTGACATTGTTATTTAGTCAACCTCCATTCTTATTTGTAATATTTACCCAAATTGAAAGCTTACTACATACTCACACACTATTTTAGGTTGAAACTTTAGGAATTCAGAAGTACTAAAAATTTAGTAGTTCTTTTTAAAACATACAACTATATACATATTTTTGCTGTGATTTTTTTTTTTATTTTACAAGAGCATGATGTTCAGACTTGAAATGACTATATAAGGGATCCTACTGTACTTATTTGTGTATGTGGAGTGTTTCCCAAAAATTAAAATGCAGGAAAGGTGATGAAATGAATGAGTGAGATTCATCCTCAGGAACGTCACAGCACCTTTCTCCAGCTGTGATGTCCACAGTAATCCAAACCCCTATCCCTTCCTTCATCTGTTTTCAGCTTTTCGATCACTGTTCAGTGTCACTTTGTGGTAAGAGATGGTATTTCTGAGTTACCTCAAACACCTTTCTTATTTTGTACTGATTCCTCCAAATTCCATGTGATGCTTGCTTTCTCACATTGATCCACCCACTACTTCCAGGGGCGATGGGATTTTCTGTATGCAGTTCTTCATCTCATTTTCCAGCTGGACAGTTCCTGCTGTCACACATGGCTTACTGTCCAATCTGGTGGGCTACAGTCCCGCCAGAGTCATACAGAATCGGACAGGACTACACATGCACCAACACCAGGGTTTGTGGGAACTATAGGCGCCGTCCTTGACCAGATGTGTCTTTCCTGAGATGGCCCTATCTCTGCCCTCAATGCTGGTAGCTCTCTGACCCCACCCGTCACCTGTAGGTGTGGACATGCACACCTGTCCTCACAGAGAGGGGCATGTGTCCCCCCCCCCAGCTGCTCCACAGCTTCCCCTCAAATTTACATGTGAAAGTGGGAAGCAGAGGACCTAGTCCCACTCAGGAGAGCCCCACTCAATCAGTACGTTATTTCCCCCTACAATTAACATAAATAAAAATGGTTAAATAAGGAAACGCTTTGTTCACTCAGTGTCCACGGGTGGTCACCACCTCAACATGGATAGTAAAGCTCAGTACCGTGTCTACTGCCAGCTTAGCTGTTTTGTCTGAAAAGCAGTTTGTTTAAGACCGTTCCTCAAAGTCATGCTCAATTTCCTTTTCCTCCAGAGGTCAGGACTCTAAGAAAATCATTTACTGCAGTTAAAGACGTATCAGCGGGGTGAGGCCAAAGTCAAAGGGAAGTCCTGTGTGTGGTGTGAGTGTGTGGTCTGAGTGTGTGTGTGGTCTAAGTGTGTGTGAGTGTGTGTGTGGTCTGTGTGTGTGTGTGTGTGGTCTGAGTGTGTGTGGTTTGTGTGTTTGTGTGTGTGTGTGTGTGTGTGGTCTGTGTGTGTGTCTCTGTGTGTGGTTGGTCTGTGTGTGTGTGGTATGTGGAACCCACAGCATGCTCACCACCAAGACTAAACCCTCCCATCAGCTGTGCACTCTGAGTGGTGTTGACGTGTCAGTGCAGGTTCATAACTTGTATCAATGGCCCACTCAGCTGGAGTGTGTTGACCACAGGGAGGCTGTACTTCCAGGGGGCAGGGGGTCCAGGTGAAATCTCTGCACTTTCCCCTCCAGTTGGCTGAGAACCTGAGACTGCCCTACAAAAATAAAGTCTTTAGAAAACAAAATGATGAAATAACCTCCAGCTATGAGCATTTTTGGCTTCATACACCACAGCAGTGGTGGACGGCTAAATATTTCCTCAGAATCTCCTGTGAATTTAGAATGGCCCTGGTGGGAAGGCAAGACAGAGAACACAACCGGATTCTGTGCAGTTTCCTGTCTAACAGACGGATGGAGTTTAGGGACATTCAGGTCACAGTCCGAGCAGTTAGCTTGTCCTGGTTTAAGAGTCAGCCTATAAATATAGACTTCCCTTTCCTTTTTCCATTTTTATTGATTGCCATCTTTTACCAACTTCTGTGCTTTTACTCTTGTACTCACCCAAGGCAGTATGAGAGAATAACTGTGCCGATATGTCATCTGATTAAAATGGACATTTGATTTGCATCAAGAAATGTGAATGAATATGAAAATGATGATAAGATTTATTGGCACTGATTTTTGATTGGGCAGGAAGATGACATTCTTCTTTATTCATGATGTGGAACCTATATTTTCTACCTGACAGTATTAGGCCAATTATCCCAATCCTGTTTTCTGAAAAGATGACTATTTCTGCATTAATTTTTTTAGTATATGTGCTGCTGAATCAAGCATGTGTTTCTGCATTAATTAAGAGATGTGTATGTGTTGAGGACTTGAAGTTGTGGTTATCCAGAAAGCCACCCATAACTGACCTTTTATTGAAAACAAACTCAAAGTTCCGTTGCTCGGGTAAGGTTTTATAATTTTTGAAAAGTTTTTATTTATCTCAATGGCATTTGAACATTTCAAGACTTAAGTTTACCAATATAAAGCTTTAAAAGAAAAGCACTTGCCATTAGCTATTTCTGGGGCAACCATATTTAATTTATTCTACTTCATTCTCTTAATTATACTTGAGATTCTCACAGTGTTTTTTATTTAACATTGGATATTATCTATTGCACACTTGCTGTAGAATGTGTGCATTTAGCAGCTGCTTTCCATTGCCTCAGACACTCCAGTGCACTTGTATAATAATGATTATATAAACATTAAATGCCACTATGAAACAAGCCAAGTTCATAAATTCTTACTAAGCTAAAAACTAAAAAAAAAAAAAAAAGGAAAAATGGGAACTTTGCATGGGATTATCTTGAATCCATGGGAAACTTGTGGATATCCTCACAGTGTCATGTCTGGGGTTATCCATGATACACCATCTTCCTCCAGTTCAGCTAATCTTGTATTTATTTGTTGATATTAAATCAAAGCCAGTTGATCACTATACATTACCTTGTATATATGGTATTCCACACTAAACTCACTTAATAACTCACCATGCAGTAATGTCTATAGGCTCTTAAGGATTTTCTGTATTCAAAAATCACGTTACCTCTGAATAATGTGTTTCATTTCTTCTATTCAATTTTAATGATTTTTATTAGCTCTGCTCTTGCCTTATTACAGTAAAACCTGAAGGAAAATTAAGGAGAAATGAAATTGGTGGCCATTTTCACCTTATTTCTGATATCAAAGAGAAATGTCTCAGTAATTCACCATTAGCTGTGATGTTTCTTATACATTTTTTTGTATATCTCTATAATATGAAGGGTACTTCTTTGTACACTCAATTTTCTATGAGCTTTTATCAAATGAATCGAATGAATGTAATCAAAGGCTTCTTTGTATCTATTAAAATGATTATATAATTTTCTTCATTTTTAAAAATTTCCTACTTTTAACATGATGACATGTATTATTTGTGTGTGTGCCGTGTATGTGTGTGTATCTTATCTAATGCTCAGACTGGGTTAATGTTATTGTTCTGTCCTCAAGTCAGGGTTAGGGCCAATCCAGCAAAGTTGTTTATGTTATTTTGCTTTTTATTTCTATAATTTCATTTGATTTGGGGGGCTTCCCCAGTTGGCTGAGCGGTAAACAATCCCCCTGCAGTGAAGGAGACGCAGTCTGGATCTCTAGGTTGGGAGATCCTCTGGAGGAGAAAATGGCAACCCACTCCAGTATTCTTGCCAGGGAAATCCCATGGACAGAGGAGCCTGGTGGGCTACAGTCCACGGGATCTCAAAGAGTCAGACACAGCTGAAGCGACTTAACATGCACACAGCACATAGAGACCAGACGTCATTCTAAACCATTTTCATAGTCAGTTCTTTAATGATTTTATGATGATCATTTTCCCATAAGTTTAATAACAAATTATGTCCCCATGGTTATTAACTACTTCTTCACTTATTATTCTTAATTCTCCTCTTAGTCTATGTGAGTTTTTTAATTTATAGAGATACTTATATCTTTTCTAGATACATTTGCTATAAATAATCCTCAGCTTTCTGAACTTCTTTTAATATTACTGTTTGTCTTGTAATATTTTGATAAATGACTATTATTTAACTGGTAGAAATAAACCTAGTAATTTTATAATTTGGAAAGTGTGGGGAGTTATCCTATATTTTCAGGGAAAGAGAAGAAAATATGCAATGATATAATGGAAAAACAATAACCTATTTATTTTTTGCGAACATGTGTGAGTGCACTGGAACTATTTAATTAGAACTAGCACTCTGGTCAACATCTGCGAGGTAATTTTCCTCATAGATCTCCAAATAGTGCATCATGGATGCTCAATGAATATTCAGTAAATTCATAAATATAGATCTTTCTGTAGACCTAACACAGACCATAAACTCAAGAGAGTCTTGATGAATGTAAATGAAGGATAATGACATCATGTGTGAACAGGGACCACAGAATGGTGGGGGGAGGGAGGCCGTGAAGGCTGTGTGGCTGCAGCCTAGCGCGTTCATCCTGTGCACCTTCCACTGAACGTTTCCAGCCCATCACAAGATGTGAGAGCTGGAAAAGACCACCCATTACTTTAAGGTGCTGCAATCACATGGAAATGTTTGCCGACACACTGATAGTATCATTTTTATTATGTTTTCTATTAGGTTCAAGTTCTTCGGAATGCTGGAGAAGAAGTGACCCTGACAGTCTCATTCTTGAAACGAGCACCTGCTTTCCTCAAACTGTCACTGAACGAAGACTGTGCATGTAAGCATTTGTGAAGGATAGGTAAAATGCTCACGTCCTGCTTGCTTTCTGAACCATTATTTCCTGACAGTAATTAGTAGCTTCTTTTCAAAGTTGGGATTTCTACCTGAATACAAACATTTTGTCTTAATATTGCAAAGCGTTCAATTAACCTTTCTCCAAAGGGAACAGCTGTTGTTTTTGTTTCAAAATGTATTCACATTTAGCTATTTTCCAACTATAATTGGGGAAACATTATTTGTTTTAAAATGTGTCATATTAAATATATACATTTTGTATCTCTATTGAATTTCATTCATAACATTTGATGAATATATATTCTCTAAGTAAAAACAATATACTCTTATTCAACTACTGAATTTACTAAATAAGCATTTACACTTAATTTGTCCTGATGAAAATATGGAGATTGAAGGAAGCCCTGATCTATGTGGAAATGTAATAATTTTCATAAGAGCTACTTAAAATTTTCTGTATCTATTTGCACATTATGAAATGAAATGCATACATCTTATAGGTTTTGCTAAAATCAGAGAAGAATATATTTTTCATGGAGTTTACATGAAATGAAATGCAAAGATCCTTAATTCTCAATTGGATCAATTTTGACAAATGCACATTTGCTCAGTCCACATGCACATAGATTATAAAATGGTTCTGCTGTGCATCTTCCTGTAGATAACATTCCCACAAAAAACCACTGACTTGATTTCTTGCCACCAAGTATTATTTTTTGCTTCTTCTAGAATTTTATGTAATGTAATCAAGCTGTTTTTATTTTTTGCATCTGGCTTATTTCATAATGAACCATCTCATGTTATATATTTTCATAACTTTTTTTTTACATTGCTGCATAGTGTTCCACTTGTGACTGTAGAAAAGTTGGGTAATATATTCTCCTGCTGATAGGCAACAGAACTGTTTCTGGTGTTTTACTATTGTAAAAAAAAGCTGCTATAAACAGTTCTGCACAAGGATGGAGAGTCTTAATATTTTATGTCACTACTATAACTAGTACTATAAGTACCTAGGAGTGGAATTGCTGAGTGACAAGACAGATGTTCAAGTAACTTCCTGACAAACTGCCAAATCTATTTCTAAGATGGGCATATATTTACAGATCTCTCAGTGTCCACTCCAGTGTGGATGAGAGTTTTGGTTGCTCTGCATTAATGCAATATATGATGGTCACAATTTCTTCAGCTGTTCTCTTGAGTGTCTGGTGGTATTGGATTGAAGTTTCAATTTGCATTTCTCTGAAGACTAATAATGATTTGCTCCTTGTCATGTGCTATTTGCATATTTGCATGTCTTATTTTGTGATGTGTCTGCTCAAGTCTTTTCCCCCTATTTCTATTGGTATGCCTTTATATTATCACACTGCAGGAGAGTACAAGACTGCTTATAAGCCTTTTGTTAGTTATGTGTGTTACAAACATTTCATTCATTTTGTACATGACTATATTTTTTACCCAAGGTGTCTCAAGTTTGAACAACTCTTTGTGAGAGTTTAATTTTATTTTTATAAGGTCTAATTTATCATTTTGTTGTTGTTTTTGTTGTATATGCTTTTGGTCTTCTGTATCTTCTCTAAAAAATATTCGCCTACTCCATGGTAGCAAGGATCTCTCCCTACACTTTTGCAAGCAGCTTTACAGCTTCATTTTTTAAAAATAGATTTATTTATTCATTTGGCTGGGCCTGCACACGGGATCTTTGATCTTTGTTGAGGCATATGGGACCTAGTTTCCTCCACATGGGATTCAACCTGGGCCCCCTTTATTGGGAGCATGGAGTTTTAGCCACTGGAACACCAGGGGAGTCCCTATAACATTGATTTCTATGTTTAAGTTTATAATCTATCTTATAGTAATAACATTTTGGTTCTGAGGTAGGAATCAAGAATGAAGGAATCACCATCTGATTTCCATTAATTTAAGCATACTGTATTCTTTCAACAAAACCACAGTGTTGATCACTGCAGCTTTATACTACTTTAAAAAGTCATCCAGGGTAGGTTCTTCAACTTTACAATATTTCAAGGTTGTTCAGCTATTCTAGATCCTTGCATTGCTGCATACATTTTATAAATAGCATATCAGTTTCCATATAAAAAAGCTATTATGATTTTGAACGTGACTAGATTGAATTGATAAACAATTAGTATACTTAACACCTTAACAACTTTAAATATTTCATTTCACAAACATATCTTTCCATCTCTTTATATTTTATTTTTTCTGTCAATATTTTAGTGTTTCCAATGGGAAAGTATATCATATCTTTCATTAAATTTAAGTCTTTTATGTTTTTCTATTTTAGTGTAATATTTTAAAGATTTAATTTGCCAATTATCTATTGCTAGCATACAGAAACAATAAAACAAGCATTTTTATATATTGACATTCTGCAACATAGCTTAATTTCCTTACTAATTCTAATAAGATTTCTTGTGCTTTGTAAAAGTTTTTCCACATATGAAGTTATGTCATCTGCAAATAGTGAGTTTTGCTTGTCTCTTTCCAAGCTATATGTCTTTAATTCCTTGTTTTTTCTTGGTTTTACACATAGTAATGGGGTGGTCCTCTAGTAAGGTGTTGAAAGAAGTCCTAAGTGCAGATGTCCTTCCCCTGCACAAGATACTGGTGGACACCATCCAGCTTTTCACTGTTAAGCGTGCCATCAGCTGTGGGTGCTCATAGTTGCCCTTTTAATTATTAATTTAGTTATTTAATTTATTTTTAATTGGAGGAAAATTTCTTTACAGTGTTGTGTTGGTTTCTGCCACACAACAATATAGATCAGCCATAATTATACATAATTCCCATCCCTCGTGAGTCTCCCTCCCTCCCCCACCCCACCCCTATAGGTCGTCACAGAGCACCAGGCTGGGATCCGTGTGTTATTCAGCAGCTTCCCCCTAGCTATCTACTTTATACATGGTGAGTGTGTATGTTGATGCTACTTTCTCCGTTCATCCCACTCTTTCCTTTCCCCACTATGTCCACAAGTCTCTTCTCTATGTCTATGTCTCCATTCCCATCCTACAAATAGGTTCACCTGTACCACTTTTCTAGATTTCACATATATGCATTAATATACAATATCTGTCTTTCTTTCTCTGACTTACTTTGCTCTGTATAACATAGGTGCCTTTTATTGGGCTAGAATAGAAAGCGAAAGTCACTCAGGCATGTCCAACTCTTTGCCACCCCATGGACTATACAGTCCATAGACTTCTCCAGGCCAGAATACTGGAGTGAGTAGCCGTTCCTGTTTTCAGGGGATCTTCCCAACCCAGGGATCGAACCCAGGTCTCCCACACTGCAGGTGGATTCTTTACCAGCTAAGCCACGAGGAAAGCCCCGGTTTGAATAGAGACACCCTTCTAATCCTGGTTCCTGAAGATTTTTCTTTTTCTTTATTTGTTTTAGTAGAAGTTATGAATTGTCAAATATTTTTTCATCCATTGAGATACTACATTAAAAACATTTTTTTCTGTTGATATCGTAACTTTTTAAAAATTGATTTTGAATGCCAAATAAAGCTTGCATTCCTAGGATAAACACTACGGTCATGCCGTATCTTTATAGATATATTACAGGTTTTAATTTGCTAAAGTATTGTTATTATATTTTAATCTATGTTCTTTAAAGATTTCCAGATGTACTTTTCCTGTGATGTTTTAGTGGGATTTTGGTACCAAGGTTATTATGTCTTTCAAACAATTACTAAATTGTAAAATCTTAGATAATCACAAATCTTTAAGACATATATTACTCATCCTTAAAAACAGATATTTGTAGTTTTTTCATGAGGATCTAATATGAAGTATTTCAGTTGTAAATTGATTGCATGTCAATGAAGGTGCTCCCAGTGACAGTGCACACAGCAAGAGCGATTGTGAAGACAGAGCACTTACAAACCTTGCATTATGGTAAATACACATGAGATTTGCTAGTTTATTAGTACAGAAAATTAAGTAGGACTTTGTGGCCAAACAAAATCTTGCACCATTCTAAGTATGGTTCATAAGAATAGGCCTCTTTGGGTAATAAAATGAAATAGTATTTTTATATGGTTGAATGCTTCCCTTAATAAAACCTTAATGCTTCTGAAATCAAAGATTAATATTTGCAGGTCTGTTTTAGGGTCCACTTTACGTTTTAATTTTTATTTTTGCTTACTTCCAAAACTCTGGCTTTGACATAAATAAAGCAGCGATAATTTTACTACCTGGCCTGCATGATACCTGAAGTGACCTGAAGTTCATGGTACAGATGTCCATGCAGAGCAGGTGGGCTTCTAACCAGCAATGCTCTGCCTCTTCCCACAGGTGCGCCGAGCGACCAGAGCAGCGGCACCTCTTCCCCGCTCTGTGACAGTGGCCTGCACCTCAACTACCATCCCAACAACACAGTAAGATGCCCAGGGCACGGTCCCCACTAATGAGGAGGGAGCCTAGACAAAGCCCAGGGTACACCGAGTTAGAATTTGCTCAAACTGCTCTGGGACCTGGCTTCTCTGATAGACTTGAAACCCTTGGCTGCTTTACTTTTTCAGAATTACGCTAATCCAGGGAGGAGGTAAATAAGTAGGTCTGTTATTTTTTTAATGTCATTTTTCTCCTCTCAGGTCTGCACTAAGGCCTTCGTAAGCTGTAGAGACTTAACTTCGAGAGGTCACATAGAACATCATAAATCATTTTATAACATGGCATCTTCTATGTAATTTGACATAATTTGTTATCATGTTTCATTTGAAATTATTTCATGAAAAGTAGCTATATAATTTGTGATATATTAGGATTTCTTAGCCACCTTCACTCACACCAGGGAATTAATGCAAAGTGATAAAGATGAAAATCTAATCTACACATTGTGTAAAATGTGAGAGATGTTAAAGTAGATCTGTATTTAATAATTGATAAAATCAGCATGTTGGTTTTATACACATTTAATAAAGTGCTGATTTTTATTTTCCACTTGTACTTTGGAGTAAGCAGTTCTTTTTCTTTTGTAAATATTTTGAACTTTCTTGTATTTCACCCTTTGAAACATGCGCACATTCTAAAGACAAAATGAATCCTTCCGGTTAAATGTGAGACAGTCACTTACCCCTGTGCTCACAAACTTGAAGAGAAGCAGAGCTCACTTATGAAGAATTTTATTTTTCTATTCCAAGTATTAGGATGTATAAGACATGGAGCTTCCTCTGACCTTTATGATTCACTCTCCATTGGAGATTCTTGACCTCACCGTGTTATTTCACTTCAAAGTCCTGCTTCTGAGCATCTTCACGCCTCTGGCCTCAGTGCACTGAATCGCAAAGCATCAGTCTCAGCCAACTCCTGTAGGCTCCCGGTCATTTTCCTTTGCCTTTTTTGTTCTGAAAGAGGAACGATTGGCACCACCAGGGTTGTCTCTACAAGAGTAAACCAGCCACATCTGGTACTTCACTGCCCTTCTCGCTTACTTCTGTGACCAGAGAAGTAACTGTCACACCATGGATAATATCTAAAATGTGGTCTTCAGAAGGCGGCAAGGTCCGAGTGACGCAAACAATGAGTGCTTGTGTACGAAGTGAATACAGGCGTCCGTCCGCGTGCCCGTCAGCTCCATCTCGCCGCCCCAGCTCAGCCTCCCGCTCCTTCGTGCTCTAGTCCATCCCTGTGGTCAACATGCTCGTGACGCCTCTGCTGTCTTTCGGGTCCTTTCACGGGTGATGCCTTGACCCCCACAGCTCTGAGTCGACCGCCTCTGAAAGGAGCCTCTGCCTGGAATCAGGGCTCAGCGCCCCGTCCCCACTGTGGCTGCAGCCAAGGACGCAGAGATGCGGCAAAGAGCAGCCCTCCAGCCTTGCCAGGCAGGCGATACAGTGCCCACTCCACCTATCAGGAACCCACATCCTGCCAGGTTCCCTCCTCATTCCCTTTCTCCGGAGATCTCCCCCATATGTCCCTCACATCAGAGCCTCCATCTCGGCTCTCTCCTGAGACAGGGGAAGAGCTGTTCTGCAGAGCTGAACGTGCTGGGTGACGTTTTTCCAGTCCCTGCCCCGTACCGTGGACCTCTCTGTAATAAGGAGATGGAAAGAGGAAGGTCGGTGGGTGGGAGTCATTCAGGCTGCTTTCACCTCTTGCCGTTACACACACAGCAGTGTCGGTGGACTTGAGTTCACCGCTTGTGCCTCAGTGTGGTGCTTGAGTCAGTGTCTTCCTTACAAAGGTCTGACTGCAGTAAGGAAACCATTCAGCAGTCCCACAGCACAACTGTTCCAAATAAATCCAACTGTCAAATCTTCAAAAACTCCATCATCATAAACTTTTCTTTCTGAGTTATGCCTTTCTACTTCAAGAGGCATGTTTGATTTCCATTTTAAGCCTTAGGATTGAACATTGTTTGGCTTTGCTAAGGATCTTTAGGGCTTCACGGGTGGTGCTAATAGTAACAAACCTGTCTGCCAAGCAGGAGAGGTAAGAGAGGAGGGTTTGATTCCTGGGTCGGGAAGATCCCCTGGAGGAGGGCATAGCAATCCACTCCAGTATTCTTGCCTGGAGAATCCTATGGACAGGGGAGCCTGGTGGGCTACAGTCCATAGGGTTGCAAAGAGTCGGACACGACTAAAATGACTTATCACACACATGCATGCAAGGATCTTTAAAGGAACTAATAGCACTTGCAATGTTTTAGACAATAAGAATCAAGACACATATAAATTAAAGTAAAAGTAAAGACAATAATTGCATTGCATCTCAATCAAATGGATATTTACTGAGAACCTACCATGTGGGAACCCGTCTAGGTGCCATGGGAAACAATTATGGTTCCTGACCCCAAAAAATGTTAAACCCCAAATCTATAGGCAAATGCATGAAATAAACTGTAACGTTAGCAGAAAAAGAACTGTGGACATTAGCATCCTAAATATCAGAGAAAGGTCTGCTAGAAGACTTTAAACATCTGACTTAATTTAAATCAACCAGAATTGGTAGCTTTTATACCAAACGCGAGGCCACTCAGGAATTAGTGCGTCACACAGACTTGGCAGCTGGTTTGGGGGGTGGAGGACGGTCTACTCAGAGATTCATAAGATTAGGGGCCTGTGTCCTTTTGACTCATCACAGATAATGAGGCACATGGAAACCTGGACAGCAGGGCGCCTTGTGGCATGTGTTCCCGAAACAAGCATGCATCGTGGAGTCAGGTCCCTAGGAGAAGCATCAGTCCTTGCTGTGTCTACTCCTCATTTCTGACCAGCCCAGGGATGCTGTGTTCAGTTCCTGCGCCATATTTATTTTCTGAAACAAATTTTGAGTAAGCAGATGCTGTTTGAGTTTCCTGAAACATTGCTTACGTATTTAAGACAACGTTTGAAACATATGAGGAAATAACACCTGATGATATGTTAACATCACTCCACTGCCTTACATAACACTATAGCCTAGTCCTCCCAAGGACTTGAGGACACTAATTTTAGGACACATGAGATTTTCCCAGTTTGCTTATCAAGGTGAAGAGAGAGTTTGCCTTGTGCTCACCAGGAGGCTTAAACTCAGGTGACTAGCTCACCAGATCCTGAGAAACATTCTCATTATTCACCTTTAATCAACGCTTTCTATGCCAAGTCCTTAATGAAATTTGGATCTGAATTGTGCCCTATATGGGCTTCCCTGGTGGCTCAGATGGTAAAGAACCCACCTGCCAATGTAAGAGATGGAGGTTCGATCCCTGAGTTAGGAATATCTGTTGGAGAAGAGAATGGCAACACACTCTAGTGTTCTTTCCTGGAAAATCACATGGATAGAGGAGCCTGATGGACTGTAGTCCTTGGGGTCACAAAGAGTCAGACATGACTGAGTGACTGACACAACACACTTTTGCTCTGTATGCATTTCTATTTTGGCCTGATCATTGTTCTTGAGATCACTGAATGGGAATATACCTTGAAATGTGTTACATTTTGTGAAAAGTTTTTTTTAAATTCATTTATTTATTTTAATTGGAGACTAATTACTTTACAATATTGTGGTGGTTTTGCCATACATTGATATGAATCAGTCACAGGTATACATGTATTCCCCATCCCAAAACCCCCTCCCACCTCCCTCCCCATCCCATCCCTCTGGGTTGTCCCAAAGCACCAGTTTTGAGTGTCCTGTTTCATGCATCAAACTTGGACTGGTCATCTATTTTACATATGATAATATACATGTTTCAATGCTATTCTCTCAAATAATCCCACCCTCGCCTTCTCCCACAGAGTCCAAAAATGTGTTCTTTATATCTATGTCTCTTTTGCTGTCTCACATATAGGGTTGTCATTACCATCTTTCTAAATCCCGTATATATGCATTAATATACTGTATTGGTGTTTTTCTTTCTGACTTCACTCTGTATAACAGGCTCTAGTTTCACCCTCCTCATTAGTACTGATTCAAATGTGTTGTTTTTAATAGCTGAGTAATATTCCATTGTGTATATGTACCACAACTTTCTTAGTCATTCATCTGCCAATGGACATCTAGGTTGCTTCCACAGCTGTCGTAAATAGTGCTGTGATGAACATTGGGGTACATGTGTCTCTTTCAATTCTGATTTGCTCAGTGTGTATGCCCAGCAGTGGGATTGCTGGGTCATATGGCAGTTCTATTTCCAGTGTTTTTAAGCAATCTCCACCCTGTTCTCCTTACTGACTGTGCTAGTTTGCATTCCTGCCAACAGTATAAGAGGGTTCCCTTTTCTCCACACCCTCACCAGCATTTATTATTTGTAGGCTTTTTGATAGCAACCATTCTGACTGGCGTGAGATGTTACCTCATTGTGGTTTTGATTTGCATTTCTCTGATAATGAGTGATGTTGAGGATCTTTTCATGTGTTTGTTAGCCATCTGTATGTCTTCTTTGGAGAAATGTCTGTTTAGTTCTTTGGCCCATTTTTGATTGGGTCATTTATTTTTCTGGTATTGAGCTGCGTGAGCTGCTTGTATATTTTTGAGATTAATTCTTTGTCAGTTGCTTTGTTTACTATTATTTTCTCCTGTTCTGAAGTCTGTATTTTCACCTTGCTTATAGTTTCCTTTGTTATGCAAAAGCCTTTAAGTTTAATTAGGTCCCATTTGTGTATTTTTGCTTTTATTTCCATTATTCTGGGAGGTGGGTCATAGAGGATCTTTCTGTGATTTTTGTCAGAGAGTGTTTTGCCTATGTTTTCCTCTAGGAGTTTTATAGTTTCTGGTCTTACATTTAGATCTTTAATCCATTTTGAGTTTATTTTTGTGTGTGGTATTAGAAAGTATTCTAGTTTCATTCTTTTACAGGTGGTTGACCAGTTTCCCAGCACCACTTGTTAAAGAGATTGTCTTTTCCCCATTGTATGTTTTTGCCTCCTTTGTGAAAGATAAGGTGTCCATAGGTGTGTGGATTTATCTCTGGGCTTTCTCTTCTGTTTCATTGATCTATATTTCCTTCTTTGTGCCAGTAGCATACTGTCTTGATGCCTGTAGCTTTGTATTATAGTCTGAAGTCAGGCAAGAGATTCTTTTAAAGCAAAAACTATGTTAATGCTACTTTTCCCATTTGTGCTGTTAATATTATAGGGAACAACATCTTTGACATTGAAGAATAAATCTTTTGAAAGTTAGTTATGGGCCTTAAAACCATAAAGATCTTTGTGTTGTTAGATCATTTTGTATGCAATTAAAAATAATTCTGGCGGTTGTTACAGAAAAAGACTAGAAAGTAAATTTATATTCTACTGTCATAATTTAAACAATAAATATAAATAATTTTCAAAAGACACCAGATATTTCATTATAAATAACAGGTCTGTAAAATGAAATGCACTAACCTTGATTATTTCAATAGCTGAAGTGGGAGTTATAAGTTATTTTTTATGAGAAAGAAATGTACGAGAAAGTGACGTTTTTCAACTTTGATACTTAAAGACTCCAGGTTGAGGTGCTATATTGGAAGGTCAAAGGTCATGTGTATTTTCATACCTGCCAGCACACAAAGTCTATAAAATGTAATTGGTAAAGCTTATCATCCTCTCCTATGGTGATTTCATTTTCCATATTCCATTTCCTATGTCTTTTATGTTCTTTTACTTTTTCTGTCCATTTGTTCAGGAACAATGGAGTGAGAGGAGTTCTTTGTGCTTTTCGTGAACAACGAGGGTCTGTCTGTAAATAATTTGTCTGAAATTACTTTGCAGAATTATGAAATAATCAAGACAAAAATCTGAGTCATTCTTTCCATTGTTTCAGCTCTGATTATGAATGTTTTATGTTGGGCTCTGGGCCACATTGGAGAAGGCAATGGCACCCCACTCCAGTACTCTTGCCTGGAGAATACCATGGACGGAGGAGCCTGGTAGGCTGCAGTCCATGGGGTCGCTAACGGTCAGACACGACTGAACGACTTCACTTTTACGTATTGGAGAAGGAAATGGCAACCCACTCCAGTGTTCTTGCCTGGAGAATCCGAGGGATGGCAGAGCCTGGTGGGCTGCTGTCTATGGGGTTGCACAGAGTCAGACATGACTGAAGCGACTTAGAAGCAGCAGCAGCAGCTGGGCCACATGTTGGCTGTAGAGTCAGAGAGATATAGGTCCGAACGGATCCTGACACTGCAGCTCACCACCTGGGGGCCTTGGGTCAATGTCTGAGTGCACAGCCTCCCAGGTGGGGCCTTGAGCAAAAGCCCACAAGTGGGTTTCTGTCACTCGCTGCTTTGGGCTTAGGGACAGGGCTGCTTGGTCAGGTCCAGCCTGGCCAAGGAAACCACATCTGTTTTCCCCAGCATGTCACATAGGATGGTGGCTTCAAGTATCCCTGTGCAGAAAAGACTTAGGAGAAGCTGTGGGTTTCCTTGATGACAGCCATGACTTTGGAGACAGGTGCATGGGTGCACAGACTTGGCGAGTGACTCTCCCAGGACTTATCAGTTGGGGAAGCATGATTCTGAACCCAGGTGGCTTCATTCTAATGGGGGCCTCAGCACTCTCCCCCTGGTGCACAGCTACTGGATCACCTGGGCCACGTGCTGACTGTGACATCTGATACAAGGAGAAAGGGGATGGTTGATGTGAACTCTGGGTCTCTGCATTTCCATCACCATGGAAGCCCTGAACGCAACTATCGTGCACAAAGGCTGAGTGCCCAAGAGACTGGACACCAAGGGGGCCTCCTGACCGTCTCAGCCAGACCTCCCTTCCAGGTGCTCCAGACTGCTCCAAGGATTTCATGGACTTTCACTGGCACAACTGTTGACAATTAACATAGTAATCCCAGAGACCACTCAACCTTTAGTGAAAATAATGGGACATTTTTTTTGCCATAAGCAATTTTGAAGAAATTAATACTAGAAAAAAAGGTTAATAATATCTAGACTCACAGAGGTTCAATGTTTAGACTAAAACAGAATCTCCTTCTAGTATCATCACTCAAGAATGAGAGAATTCTTACCTGGGAAATCCCGTGAACAGAGGAGCATGGTGGGCTACAGTCCATGGGGACACAAAGAACCAGACATGACTGAGCACCTGTCTATACACTAAGAATCTCTAGACTAGAGAGAAATCCACATCAGCAGCTCTCTGAGCAAACTGAGCCTTGGCTGGTAGAACCCAGGCTGACCTACACACCAGCATCATTCCTTGTACTAGAGCCAGGGACAAATCCAACAGTGAAAGAAAATAAAAGAAACACTGATCAACACCCACTGGAAAGCTCAAATTTTATTCAAATGTCTTCTCTGTACAAAAGGAAAAAAACACAGACTTTTTATGGAATTTAAAATACATGGCATTTCAAACCAGTAGTGACTCATTTGAAAAGACCCTGATGCTGGGAAAGATGAAGGGCAGGAGGAGAAGGGGATGACAGAGGATAAGATGGTTGGATGGCATCATTGACTCGATGGACATGGGTTGGGGTGAACTCCAAGAGCTGGTAATGGACAGGGAGGCCTGGCATGCTGTAGTTCATGGGGTCGCAAAGAGTCGGACACAACTGAGCGACTGAACTGACTGAGTGGTTATCTTAACATAACTTTAAAACAATACAGGAAAATACAAATGTCTTATAAACATAGAGTTAAATAAATTGACAATAATTTCCTTGAGTACTGTTTGAGAGTTGTTTTAGAAGAATATTTATTCTGTTCAAAAATATTTTTAACTAACCAATGAATCACAAGCCTTTGTAACGTTTTGTGCTTCACAGATAGAAAATACTTGCTAATTGAACTTATTTTTTGTTACCTACTAGTTCATCGCAGTTACAGTTTTGACCCATCTTTGCATTCTTGAATGGATTCAGTTGTCAGAATTTTATTTTTTCTTCCAGCTCCTGACCCATTATTTTCATATGTTTTTCTACTATGATTTTTCATCTCAACGATTCCCTCCTCACTTTCTTATAGGATTCCATTAATGGAGACATTAGGAAATGTAATTTCATTGTCAGTGAATATGGATATTCCATGGAATTCTGTCCCTGTCTTTGGATTGCTTAGGGGGAAATAGCCCTATGGTAGAAGGGGTTTGTGGCTGCGATGCTGAAAGTCTGTTTTCCTTTCAGGACACGCTGTCCTGCTCGTCGTGGCCTGCATCCCCAGGGCTGCGGTGGGAGAAGCGGTGGTGCGACCTGAGGCTCATCCCACTGCTGCACTCACGGTTCTCCCAGTACCTGCCCGGGACCGACCTGAGCCGGTGAGTTCCACCGGCGCCACACCAATGGCGAGGCCTGGAGTCTGACTGGTGATGGGGCTGTGATTCCCTGTTCGGTGTGCTTCCAATAGTGGGAAGAGGGTCACGTGGCAAACACTCCGCAGTGCATATGGTGGGTGTGGGCTTGGCTTGCTTCTCAGCCCGGCTGACCGAGCCTGGGAACCCTCAGACACCAGCTCCACCCCCGTGGCCGTCCTCCACGTGGGCCTCCGCTCGGTGGCTGGGCCGGCCTTGCTGCCACCAGAGAGGGTGGAAGGCTGGGGCGGTGGACACTGTGCTGTTGCTGCAGGTGATGGTGAACCCCCAGCTCTCCGTGGAACCTGCTCACAGCGGCAGAGATGGAGGGGAAGCTGCGGGCAGTCAGCCCCCGCCCACCACCTCACCCCATCTTGGGGAGGACAGGTAGAGTGGGGCCTGAGGTCCCTGTGAGCCAGAGCGGTCAGTGTGGGAAAGGGGTAGAGAGCCCAGCAGCCCCTCCTCGGGTCGCCTCGCTCAGCCCAGCAGCTGCAGACTTAGGTTAGAGTTGCTGCCATCTTCCACTTTAGCCTTCCTATGGATGTAAGATGTGGTTACACTGTGTTGCATGACCTGAACTTGTGTGTCCTAATAATGTTGAGCATCTTTCCACCTGCATGTTTATCACAGGAAATCCTCTTTGGTGAAATATCCCTTTGTTTCTTCATCATTTGGTCATTGGCTTGACTTACATATTTTTACCTTTTTATTTTTTACTGTTGAAATTTGAGAGTTTTGCATAATATTCAAGAAAAAAAGTTGTATCAACCCTCTAGTTTTTTCTGTTCTGTTGTTTTAAACTTATTTTTGATTTTCAAATGTTAATATTGCCTCTATTATATCACTATATATACACCTTTTATTTGGTTTTAGTTATTGTCTAAACATTACACCATATGTCTTAGTCCTTCCAGGCTGCTGTGACAAAATATGGCAGATAATAATATTTTGACAAAATATGGCAGATAATAATAGCAGTTGTTGTTCTCTAGTCACTTAGTTATGTCAGGCTCTTTTGTGACCTCATAGATTGTTGCCCCACCAGGCTTCTCTGTCCCTGGGATTCTCCAGTCAAGAATACTGGAGTGGTTTGCCATTTCCTCCTCCAGGGGATCTTCCCAACCCATGGATCTAACCTGTGTCTCCTGCGTTGGCAGGTGGGTACTTTACCACTGTGCCACCTGAGAAGCCCCAGTACTCGCAGCAAACAACAGAAATGGTTTCTCACAGCTCTGGGTTCTGGAAGCCTTCGTTAAAGGCATCCAGGTCATGGCTGAGTCCTCAAGTTCTTTGACAAAGACCGCTTCTAGTTTGTGCCTGCTGTCTTCTCCTCTGTCGTCCCTTGGAGGACACCTTGGGGTGGGGCCAGGGGTCACTCTGGAGCCTCTTTATGAACAACTGATCTTGTGCATAAGGCCTTGACTCTCGTGGCTTCAGCATCTCCTCTTGGCACCAACATGTTGGTCACTAGGATTTCAAAATGTGACTAGGAGGTGTGGCACCAACACTTGGACCACCATGTATGATTTATTAGTGTTTAATGTAACTTATTCTGGAGAAGGAAATGGCAGCCCACTTCAATATTCTTGCCTGGAGAACCTCATGAACAGAGGAGCCTGGTGGGCTATAGTCCATGGGGTCACAAGAGTCGAACACGACTTAGCGACTAAACCACCACCAGTACAACTTATTAATTTTACTCTTTCAGGAAATTCTAGAAACTAAAAACACCTTAACTAATTCTATTTCTTTCTTATCTTTGTGCATATTTCTGAAAATATTTGAATTATATTGTTGTTGTTCAGTCGCTGAGTCGTGTCCAACTCTTTGCAACTCTATGAACTGCAGCATGCCAGGCTTCCCTGTCCTTCGCCATCTCCCAGTTTGCTCAAACTCATGTCCACTGAGTCACCAATGCCATTCAACCATTCCATCCTCTGTCACCTCCTTCTCCTTCTGCCCTCAGTCTTTCCCAGCATCAGGGTCTTTGCCAGTGAGTTGGCTCTTTGCATCAGTTGGCCAAAGTATTAGAGATTCACCTCCAGCATTAGTCCTTCTAGTGAATATTCAAGGTTGAATTATGTATGTATCTTAAATTCCTCAAGATATTTTTTTTTGTTTTTAGATAACTGTTATTCAAATATGCCCTACTTTTAATCTTTCTGTTTCTGTTTATTTGTTTCTTTTGGATCTATTTGTTTTCTGCTTTCAGAAATTTAAAATATTTCTATTAATGGTATTTTTAGTGTGTATATTTGTTCTTTTTGTTTTTACTTTAAAAATCTTACGTAGTTAAATGATGTAGAAATGTTTAGCTAAAGAAATTTATGAGGCAAAGGAAATTGTATGAATCTAGATGACTTATTCCATTTTTATTTTTATGACACCTCAACACATCAACAGCTTCTAGCAGTTGAATTAATTACACTCAGTGACTATGACAGTAATAAGCAGTTATAAATACAACACTCTTCTGAGTGGATTGCACAGCAATTCAGATTCAAGAGCTAATTTATTGTTCACTCATTCAGTCAATAAATATCGATTTAATGTCTATATGGAAGGTGTTGTGTTTACTGCTTTCCCTGAAGGAGGTCATGAGCCAGTGGCAGTTGAGACAGTGAGGGAAATAAAAGAGAAAAGATAAATTAGTGGCCCATGATGACAAATATACAAAATTGATGAACTTGGATCAAAACCCAGGACGTTATGTGTTGGTTGGTTTTTCCAAGGCCCATAATTTTAACTTTGGTGATATAATACCTCTCGTATTTAATTGCAACAGAGTTGTGTTCCTGTCATATCTATTGTGTAAATATGAGTTAAAACATCATAACATTTTATCAATAATAAGACAGTTTATGTTCATTGTATAGTAATGACTTGGAAATATGTGTTTCAGTTCAATCCTGAAATATAATATTGCAGAATGTTACAGTGTCAGGAGATTAGAATGGGAAGATTATTAAGGAGAAGAAAGTGTTTCATTGTATTAACTATAGAATAGAAATCCTGAATAGACTGAGAAACAGATTAATTTCCACACAGCCCCCATTCCTCTAAGCCCACCATGCCTTCATGCTGCTGCTGTTTGTTTTTGGAGGAAATCACCTCCTGTCTAAAGCGTGTGCTTTGTCTCCTGTCCCCCGTATAAGCCATCCATCCAGGTGGACCCCAGACCCTGCTGCCTCGTTTTCCTTTACAGGAAGCCCTCGTTGGTCCACAGCCTCTGTAACATCCTCGAGCTAATGTTTATCTTCTCTCCCCCTCACACATGTGCATTTCAGTCCCGCATCAGCTTGTATTTGCCAGCCATCCTACCTCGTCTGACACAATCAACCCAGTGCACACAAATCTGACCATGGGGTCCTCCATGGAGGTTCAGCCGCGGTTCCCATAGACTTGAAGCTCCTTCCGTGATATTCACTCTCCTGCCCTCTCCAACTCTGCCTGCTTTCTCACAGTCCCGCTAGCCCTCTCCTGGACAAGGCCGTCCAGCCACTCAGACTGTCTCTGCAACTCTCCCTCCTCCTGCTTGCAATGCCCCTCCACCACTGCCTTCTCCTCCTCACTCCTCACAAAGTAAACTTCTCCTGCATGTGCCTACATGTGGCACGTGATGAACAATGATCGCAAACATGAATTACTAACTGTGTAAATAAGAATTGTATATATTGATATATATGCATATCAACAGTTAATTATTTATGAATTTTTCATGCAAGGGAAAAATAAATTTGTAGATTAAATGAAAAAAACTGCTTTGAAATTTCACAACATTTGAGAATAACTTTTGTTGCCAGAGTAGTGATCAGGAATTGTTAGAAAAATAGAAAACAATATTGAGTGGAAAGTGGAAAAAAGTTCAAATTACCTAACTGTAATCTTGTCACTGTGGGTTTTTTTTTTTTTTGAGCAAGTGTGTGTGTGTGTTTGTATCTGTGTGTGTGTGTGTACAAAGAATCATAATTTAATCTAGGAATCCTCAAGATTACTACAAATGTTGTTAAATTTTCATATTTCCCAATACCTCAATGCTAACTTAGCAGGTGCGTGTGTATACTAAGTCACTTCAGCTGTGTCTGACTCTTTGCAACCCCATGGATGGCAGCCTGCCTGGCTCCTCTGTCCATGGGATTCTCCAGGCAAGAATACTGGAGTAGGTTGCCATGCCCTCCTCCAGGGGATCTTCTGGACCCAGGGATCGAACTGCATCTCTTATATCTCCTGCATTGGGAGGCAGGTTCTTTACTACTAACACCACCTGGGAAGCCCTACTTAGTGGGTAGTGTAGTGTACTGATTTCAGAGAGTATATGATCAAACAAGCTGAAAAAAAGAAGTTTTGTTTTTCTTTCTTTCTTTTTTAATAATTACTTATTATCTTGACCCAAATAATTCCATTTTCTAGAAGCACAAATATCCCCACAACCTTGGGGCTCTGGCTAAGTGCTGGGTGACACATGCTCACCAAATTCTCTTAAATATCGCCTCAAGGCCACACGTTGGCAGTTCTTTCTCAGCACTTCAGTGATCAGTGAGAGGATTTGGGTCCCATCAATTCCTCCATAAATATTTTTTGAATCGGTCAAGTATGTTTTCCTCATTCTCCGTTAGGGGAAATTGGGGCACAACTAAGTTGGACTAATGTGCCAGTACTCTTATTTATTCAGTAGCAGAAGTAGAAACAGGGCCCACGCTAACATCTTGATGACGTGTTTACTTTGTTAGAGGTTTTATGCAATCAAAAAACTGTTGAAATAACTTATATTCATGAAAGGGCTTCCAACAAATAACCTGAAAAGTGGAAACAGAATGTAAAATTGGAATATATTAGTGTATAAGCCTGGGTTTGTAAAGGCTAGTCCTTGCAAATGACTGTGGAGACTGTGTGCCATGTCCATGGGCTGTGGGTTTCCTCTAAGTGCATCAACTCTAATCAGCTAAAAATACCCAGCTGCCATGATTCATTTACAGCAGACAGGACAAATATGTTCAAGACATGCTTTAATTTACAGTACATGAAGCAATGGTTATGATAATCAGAAAGCAGAAAGAAACGTTGTTGCTAATTCAAATTAGTTCTCATTTTCCATGGATAGTTGAGCTTCTGTCTGCATATCCTAAATGTCTTACTTACTAGTGAATATAAAAATTAAAGTTGAGAAAGTCACGTGAAGTTACAATATTCTTTTTGTGCTGTGCATATTTTTTTCTTGTCACAAATTCAAAAGAGCATGATTTCAAAGAGACAGACAATAGTTGCCACCTCTCAGACTTTTCATGTGTTTTTCAGAGCAAATAAAAAAGAATGTTTGAACACTTTCCCATAATCAGTTGAAAGTTCCTGGTCAAGTTTATCAGAACAAGTGTCTCTAAAAATACTAATAATGTGGATGCAAAGGGCCTTCAGTGTGGAAGTCTCTGGAGCATGTCCGGTGAGGTCTGGACCAGTCTTGTGGGACAGGAGAGAGACACCAGCCTCATGATGAAGCCGGGCCAGATAATTCCTGGCTGGAGTGTCTTTATTTTTGAAATTGAAATATGTGTAATATGCACGAACACCTACTTAACAAAATTCAGAAGAGACATAAAAGCAATTTAATTGGAGAAAAACATATAAATGTACACTATTTACATAGCCTTTTGAATGCTGGACTAAATCATTTGTCTATTGCTTCAAAACTGGCTGGGATTTATAGATAGTTTGTGCATTTTCTGAAGTGTATTGTGTTGCACCACAGAGTAATTTTCAAGCATGAGGCATTTGGCTACTTTCCATTCATTTTGGGATTTTTATCTATTCCTCTCCATTAAGCTTATATTGAAACATGCAAGAACTTGAAACAGAAAAATAAAAATAAGTAAGTAAAGCTGCGGAAAGCTGCTTTAAACTCTACAGCACTTTTGTAAACAATTTAGGATGGCATTATTTAATTTTCTCTAACAACAACAAAAACTCAATAAAAGACAATAGAGATATTCAGGCTGGCCATAGCACTTTTAAGGAGAGCGTGGTTGTTATTGAAATGCAAACATCCACATAAATTTACGGCCTGAATATTTAGACGTGAAAAGCTGTGGGCCCTTGTCCAAAACCGTCCCTGAGAAGACAAATAGCTGGATGAACAGCTGAGAAAGTGCTTCAGCTCATGACAGCATGAGAGTTTTAAATGATGCTCGGTATCTGGGTGCAGGGTTTTCGTGCGATCTTTCCATCAGAAATGCACTAAAAAATGTCAAGAGGTGATGATAGCCAAAATAATAGATAAACATCTATGCATAACTTTGTGATATGCAGGGAACAGGGAGAATCCCTCTCAAATGTCTTTGACATGCTTCCATTTACATAATATATTGTACATCTCCAAGTTTCTCCAAACTTATCTGTGTCTCAAGATGCTTTGAGTAATTCAGAATTGTGTGTCATCTGGGCTCATATTTGTATGCATGTGTGCTAAATTGCTTAGTTGTGTCCAATGCTTTGCAACACTGTGGACTGTAGCCCACCAGGTTCCTCTGTCCATGGGATTCTCCAGGCATGAGTACTGAAGTGCGTTGCATGCCCTCCTCCAGGGGATCTTCCCAATCCAGGGATCAAACCCACATCTCTTGTGGCTCCTGCCTTGGCAAGCAGGTTCTTTACCACTAGTGCCACCTGGGAAGCTGGGTTCATCTTTAGTGTTCAATGTTAATAACATTTTTTTTCCATTTATTTTTATTAATTGGAGACTAATTACTTTACAATATTGTAGTGGTTTTTGTCATACATTGACATGAGTCAGCCATGGATTTACATGTATTCCCCATCCCAGTCCCCCCTCCCACCTCCCTCTCCACCTGATTCCTCTGGGTCTTCCCAGTGCACCAGGCCCGAGCACTTGTCTCATGCATCCAACCTGGGCTGGTGATCTGTTTCACCCTAGATAATATACATGTTTCGATGCTGTTCTCTTGAAACATCCCACCCTCACCTTCTCCCACAGAGTCCAAAATTCTGTTCTGTACATCTGAGTCTCTTTTTCTGTTTTGCATATAGGGTTATCGTTACCATCTTTCTAAATTCCATATATATGCGTTAGTATACTGTATTGATCTTTATCTTTCTGGCTTACTTCACTCTGTATGATGGGCTCCAGTTTCATCCATCTCATTAGAACTGATTCAAATGAATTCTTTTTAATGGCTGAGTAATATTCCATGGTGTATATGTACCACAGCTTCCTTATCCATTCGTCTGCTGATGGGCATCTAGGTTGCTTCCATGTCCTGGCTATTATAAACAGTGCTGCGATGAACATTGGGGTGCACATGTCTCTTTCAGATCTGGTTTCCTCGGTGTGTATGCCCAGAAGTGGGATTGCTGGGTCATATGGCAGTTCTATTTCCAGTTTTTTAAGAAATCTCCACACTGTTCTCCATAGCGGCTGTACTAGTTTGCATTCCCACCAACAGTGTAACAGGGTTCCCTTTTCTCCACACCCTCTCCTCTCCAGCATTTATTGCTTGTAGACTTTTGGATAGCAGCCATCCTGACTGGCGTGTAAAGGTACCTCATTGTGGTTTTGATTTGCATTTCTCTGATAATGAGTGATGTTGAGCATCTTTTCATGTGTTTGTTAGCCATCTGTATGTCTTCTTTGGAGAAATGTCTGTTTAGTTCTTTGGCCCATTTTTTGATTGGATCATTTATTTTTCTGGAATTGAGCTGCAGGAGTTGCTTGTATATTTTTGAGATTAATCCTTTGTCTGTTGCTTCGTTTGCTATTATTTTCTCCCAATCTGAGGGCTGTCTTTTCACCTTGCTTATAGTTTCCTTTGTTGTGCAAAGGCTTTTAAGTTTCATTAGGTCCCATTTGTTTATTTTTGCTTTTATTTCTAAAATTCTGGGATGTGGGTCATAGAGGATCCTGCTGTGATTTATGTCAGAGAGTGTTTTGCCTATGTTCTCCTCTAGGAGTTTTATAGTTTCTGGTCTTACATTTAGATCTTTAATCCATTTTGAGTTTATTTTTGTGTATGGTGTTAGAAAGTGTTCTAGTTTCATTCTTTTACAGGTGGTTGACCAGTTTTCCCAGCACCACTTGTTAAAGAGGTTGTCTTTTTTACATTGTATATCCTTGCCTCCTTTGTCAAAGACAAGGTGACCATAGGTTCGTGGATTTATCTCTGGGCTTTCTATTCTGTTCCATTGATCTATATTTCTGTCTTTGTGCCAGTACCATACTGTCTTGATGACTGTGGCTTTGTAGTATAGTCTGAAGTCAGGCAGCTTGATTCCTCCAGTTCCATTCTTCTTTCTCAAGATTGCTTTGGCTATTCGAGGTTTTTTGTATTTCCTTACAAATTGTGAAATTATTTGTTCTAGTTCTGTGAAAAATACCATTGGTAGCTTGATAGGGATTGCATTGAATCTATAGATTGCTTTGGGTAGTATACTCATTTTCCCAATATTGATTCTTCCAATCCATGAACACAGTATATTTCTCCATCTGTTTGTGTCCTCTTTGATTTCTTTCATCAGTGTTTTATAGTTTTCTATGTATAGGTCTTTTGTTTCTTTAGGTAGATATACTCCTAAGTATTTTATTCTTTTTGTTGCAATGGTGAATGGTATTGTTTCCTTAATTTCTCTTTCTGAATAACAGATTTTTTAAAAGATATAAAGAAAGAGGAATTTGAAGCTGCATTTATGTGGTCTGCAAGAAGAGCTTTTGAGCAGACAGCTATCTCAAGTTGCACACAGACACACGAGATGATGTCTTGGTCTGATTTGCTCTGACGTCTCTGCAGGCAGAACGCCTTCCAAGTCACCGCCGTGGACGGGGTCTGCAGCGGGGTCATTCAGTGCCTCTCCGCGGAGGACTGCGGGGAGTGGCTGCAAGCAATAGCCACCAACATTTCCAGCCTCACAAAGCACAACGTAAGTAGTGGTTCCAGGAATGCCGGGAAAGCTCCTCCACCTGCCTCAGTGAACCTCTTCAGTACACAGGTTAACTCCATCAGCTGTTTGGTGTTCTGCTAGGAATGGACCACTGCACACCCACCATAAGAGCTATTCTTAAAGTGGATTATACTTGCTCAAAGAAAGCCACTCTATCTTGAGTGTTTTAGTCCAGTGTATCAGTACAAGAGTATTTACACCGAAGTTTCCATTCACAAACATTGTAACATCTACATTAGTTAAATAACTGAAAATAGATATTTGACATGTAAGCACTAAATATCTATATCTGTATATATATACATATATATCATCCACTTATATTTTTATATATGTATATATGCATCTATCTACCTTCATTTCATATCTCTATACAGTCTGTCTATATATATCATCCATCCATCAGCATCTATAATCCATGTATATATATGCATTTGTCTACTTATATATCTATACATCTGTATGTTTACTAGTTTGTCCACTTGCAAAGCAGCCTGCAATATTATTTGAGCCCCTAGATCCTTTAAGAATAACTCACTTGTAATAATATTGCAAGAAAAGTTGCACAATAACTGCTGAGCTAAAGCACCTGGACAGGGACTGTCTCCAGGGGCAAGGGAGGGTATGTGTTTCTCACAGCCTCAGTGGGCATGGCCGGAGGCCTGTGAATATCACATACATGAGAGGGAGAAGGACAGCACGGGTATGAAGGAGGACCCATGGAGGGACCTTGAAAGGACCCATGGAAGTATAACTTCAAATACACTCCTGTGATCAGGCAAAGGGGATTCAAGTCGATTGCCTTTGCAGTGATATTTTTGCCAGGGGAGAAGCTGGGCTCCGGTGTCAGGGGACTCAGTGTGGAGCCCAGTTCTCCCTGCACCAGCTCTGAGCTGGACTTCAAGCTCCTCTGCTTAAATGAATGCTGTTAGCCTCAGTCCTGCAAGGGCTAAATGAAGAAGTGCTTCAGCCATTCTGGCCCTGAAATGATGCTGAAACAGTTGCACTTCTCCTTTCTTCAGCAGCACTCTAAATTTCATGATTTAATCCAAAACTGCTGATAAATGGCTGTATAGATTCGCTCATTGTGTGTGATGCTGCACATCTCTGTTTTGTCCAGTTGTCATTTGAGATCCTTCATCTTCTGAAGGATGGCCGTGTGAATACCAGAATGTGAATCACACAGGACAAGCTGAGCTAAAATAAATGTCTAGTGGTGACTAGACCATTAAGCAGCTCTGATTTCTGGCAACCAAAGACCTACCCCTCAGTCCCTCATCTTTAAAAGAGACAGAGGGAAGCAAATAAAAGGCAGCTCTCTCTCTCAGCCAGCATTTCATGAATCTAACCTTTCCCATCACTTTTTACTGCTCCAGCACTGAAATAGATTCCGACTGATAAGCAGAGAGAATTTCATGCGACATTTCTACTAAGGTTACCTGTTAACACAAAGGAAACTCTTCTGGTCTAAATTCTTCCACATATGTCCTATGCATGTGTTCCCTTTATCAGAATGGAATGTGGTACTTGAAATGTATCACTTCTGTGTGTGTGTTTGCATATAGATAAATACAAATATTTATGCAATATGCTTCTTATTCTTAAAGGTTCACTGAAAATCAGTGATAGTAAATGAGGATGTATGGTTGCACATGTGATATTTTCAAAATACATAATAGTATTTCATTATAAGAAAAAGGGTAGACTCTCTTACCCCAAATGTTTTTAATCAATGAGAATGCTCTCAGTAAAAAGTTAGACCCCAAAGGAGTAAATAGTGGGGTTTTTTCCCCAAATGAAGAGAGTCATGGATGGCAGCATTTCTTGAAAGCTACCATCCACCCAGAACCCATCCTCTGTCTACACACATTATTGCTACTATTACCCACTACTCTTAGAGAGTTGGCTTTTACCTTGAGTTTGCTGCCTCATGATCACAGAAGGGTTGCAACAGTTCCAAACATCACTTCAGTGTTCAGAACAGGAAAGTAAGGGAAGAAGGATATGTAGTGCCAGCTACATCTCTCCTCTTTTATCAAGATAAGATAAATTTTTCCAGAAACTCTTTACTAGACTAATAATGCTCACTTCTCCTCCTCCTGGCTGAGCCCCATGACAATTCTGGGGATGGGTGGCTAGTCTCTACCTTTTGAACTGTTTATGGTGGGATGACCAAGAAGAGAAGACTGTAAATGGCTTTTGAGTCAGATAATTAATAGTATTTACTACATTGTTTAATACTTTAAAAAGCATATTAATCCTAAAAAACTGCATGAACAACCAGCAGCCCTGTGATTTTTGTGGGATGATCACAGTCCTTCAGGATTCACACATATACACATACATACACACACATGCACATGCGCGTGCGCACGCACACACACACACACGTACATATCTCATCAGTCATTTGAGTTCCTGCAGACTGCATTTCAGCCATCTTCTTATATTTTACCCATTTACCTGCAGGAGCCAAAAAAAAAACGGTCATTTGGGAGTCATGTTTAATCCATAGAGTTCTGCTATTTTAGATGGAAAACACTTGCAAGCTGAAAAGAGAATTTTTTTCCATAAAACTGTTGGTTGTGAAGAACTGAAGGAAAAACTTCTATTGTGTCTGCCGCCTTAGAAAGACTCAACAAAGCTCGTAGGTGAATTGAAAGTCATAACAAAATAAAGCCTAACAGAAAGGAGATTTACCAGAAAGGCCTGAAGCTGTGATCAGAGGTTGCAGAGTGAGATTCTGACAGGCGTGGTGTCACTGAGGGAGACGTTTTCTTCCTTCTATAGCAGCTGGCATTCCTGAGTCCTTGGATGCACTTTTGTGCAGTGCCTTGTTTTCACCGTTGTTTCTCCTCACACATCAAATACGAACTTCAGTCATGCAGGCATCAACTCGATGTGGGCCATGGTGTGGGATCAGACAGGGCAGGGACAGTAAGTCAAGTCAGGATAAAAGCAAGGGGAAGTCTAGCATTATACCATGAGTGCATTTTCTTAATCATACTGTGCTTTTTACATGATTAGAGTTTATTTTGGCAAGTTGTGTTGGGGAGATTTCAATAAAATAACTAACCTACTTTATCTGGTAGAAAGATACTCACCAAAAAATAAGCTTTTAAACAATTTTTTTTTAATTTAAAGATTTTTTTGATGTGAACCATTTTTTAAGTCTTCATTGAATTTGTTATGATATTGCTTCTGTTTTATGTTCTGTTTTTTTGGCCAAAAGGCATGTGGGATCTTAGCTCCCCCACCAGGGACTGAACTCACAACCCCTGCATTAGAGGGCAAAGTCCCAACCACTGACACACCAGGGAAGTTCCAACAAATTTTTACACTGGAAAAAAATTAGCTGGTAATTTCCCTGCACAATCCAGACCCTTTGCTTTGATGTTAACTGACAACTGCATTCATAAGCAAATGGTCAGTTTTCCATGGCAGTTTCCAAGGAGCTGCCCCCTAACCAGCCGGACTCCACCTGCCGGGCCTTAGTTCCTCCCCTTTGAGCCTCAGTCTTTCTCCTTTCTTCCAGCCCGAGCTCCCCAGTCTCCCATGTTCCAGGGGCCTCAAAGCCTCCAGGGAGTGCCCAGGGCCTTGCCCCTACCCATCCACCCTTCTCCTGCCCTGCTGAGGCTGGCCTTCAGAGGCTGACCCTCCTGGGCCCAGAGCTGTTGGAGACCCCACAGGAGTGCGTGTGGGAACACACGCTGTCCAGTGCATGTCAAGGGGCAGAGGGCATCGGCTGGCAGAGAACCTGCTCACTAGAGGAACCACTGGATACCCAGTGAGCACACGGGCCCTGAAGGGGAGGTCATACCTGGTGAACCGTGGACAGCGTGTTACGAGAAGCCTGAGCAGCTCAGACACGTGGACCACTCACCAGTCGATGCTTATTCCCTGCACCAGGCCCCTCCCTTCACCTGTGACCCTCGCCTCCTGGGAACTGCCTGCTTCTAGAGATTCACTGAGGTCTCTGATCAGTCCTGAGGGGCGGGGGGGAGATGCTCCAACTCAGCACCAGGTGTCCTGTGGAAGAGGAGGCACATGGTGAGCTCAGTGCAGACGAAGGTCCAGCAGAAATCATACAGCCATCACTGTCAGTTTGCTATTGCTTGATGAATGTTTCTCAGAAGCCAAGCTTGAGGGAGCAGAGGTGGCTGCAGGTGCCCTGAGGGTCCAGGCTGGGCTCTAACTATAAACACTGTGTGTCCCCTCTGTAGGAAGCCTGACTAAATGATTCCACAGTGATAGAACCTGCCCTCTTCACCTGTGACCAACACAGGCCGATCAAACACCCCCACACGCCTGAAACCCAGGGCCCAGTGCCTGCAACTCAGCCCACGGCCAGGACACTGTGTGCTTTCGTTTACATACGTAAAATAAAATGACCATCTTCTTGTGTAGATGGTATTAACCTCTGTTCAGTTAACATATAATCCTGAGCATTTTCCTATGACAGTAATTATATTCTGAAATCACCTACATATAATGGACTAATAGATATTTTGCTATTTGCTTAATGAAAATTAATGAATAGAGTATTATTTGAAATGCACATCATTTAAAATGCATCATTAATGTAATAGTGCCCTATGAGTTTCTGGCATATTAGCCAGTGAAAATGTTGCTAATTCACTAATTATACCTTAATATAGGTGTCTAGGGGTCTTCCCTGGTGGCTCAGCAGTGAAAGAATCCACCTGCCAATGCAAGACACTCAGGTTCAATCCTTGGGTCGGGAAGATCCCCTGGAGAAGGAAATGGCAGTCCACTCCAGTATTCTTGCTGGAGAATCCCATGTAAAGAAGATCCTGGTGGGCTATAGTCCATGGGGTCTCAAGAGTTGGATATGACTAGGCAACAAAACCACCAAACCACCATAGACGTCTAGGAGAAGAATCTAAGAATATGAACATTCTTTGGTCTTGTAAACTATGCCCAGTGCAGGCTGGGTTGGAGTTTCTATGAGGTTCTCTTTGTTTCTATTCTTTCTGCCCCAAAGATGCACCCCCTACAACCAGGCCTGAGGGCACGTCTATGCAGGGATAATGGCTTCTCCCAGCTTCTCCCTCAGCACAAATTTACAAAACCCTTGTCTGTGTTCATGGGTTTTCAGATCCAGGCTTCAGCACACATGCTGAGGTAGAGATCTGTGTTGCGTTTGAAGCCCTACCCATCACATGTGCTGCCCAGGTTATCGCAGAAGAAAGCAGAAGCTCTGCTTCTCCCTCGGTCCACCTCGTCCCATCCGAGCATCTAGTGGACGCCCCCCTGAGCCCGTTAGTGACTGCGGAGGGTCCGCTCGCGCCTCTGGGTCTCTCACATCCAGAATCGCAGCCACACTTGTACAAGGGGCTCTCAGAAGTCTTCACAAAAAGTGCTGCTGCTAGGTTTATCTTTCTACTTACATTGCTAGCAATAGGAAGGTAGGCGTGCCTCAGGCCACCCCAACTCGCCCTAAATACAGAGGCTAAATATGGGCTGTTTGGGGAGTTGACACATGAGGGATTGTTTTTCAAGTAATTAACCACTTTTTAAAGTGTTGTTCTCTTCTCAGATTTAATACAATTTTTATCATTAACTCAGTAATATGCATTTTATATTCAGTTTTTAATTTTCTATCAAAATTCATTGTCACATTTAGTTTTGCAGTGTAAAACCCTGTTTCAACGATTGTAACTCTGTGATACATTGAAATAGCCCCTGACATTAAACACCTCTGGGTGCATTCGACCATTTATTCTCCACAGGCCCTTAAAGGCCTAAAAACAGTCACCCTAGAATAGCACCACAGTATAATATTTTAATTTAGAAGAAATTTGACATTCAGAAATGGATCTGTAGATTTCATATGTGTCATTATTTAGTGGCTCAGTTGTGTCTGACTCTGTGACTCCATGGACTGTAGCCTGCCAGACTCCTCTGTCCATGGGATTTCCCAGGCAAGAATACTGGAGTGGGCTGCCATTTCCTCCTCCGGGGATCTTCCTGACCTAGAGAGTAGAACCCCAGTCTCCTGCATTGGCAGGCAGATTCTTTACCACTGAGCCACCAGGGAAGCCCATGATTTCATATTAGGATAGTTATTATGAATTTTATTTTTTAATGAAATGTATTTTGTTTAAAATGTATTTTGTTTTATTTGTCTAGCTTAAAATTTAGGATGACTACTGATTTATATGCATCTCATATTCAAATACCTTGAAGTTACTAAGTCACTTTTAGAAGGAAAGTGTAAGTACACCTCCTTTAAATAAATCTGGAGGACAAGATTTTAAGTACATTTGATGGCATAGACTTGATTTTGAAAAACAGTATTTGTTGAATGCTGTTTTAAGTAAATACTATGTAAAGAAGTATCATTGATTTAACTTCAGTCATACATTTTATGTCATTCATAGAACTAAAATCGCATGTTGGAGGAACTTAAAAATACAATACTATATAGTATACACTCAGAGACAACGGTCAACATAAAATGTTAGTAGACGTGTAAAATAGGGAGCTTGTGGGAAGCTGCTCTATAGCATAGGGAGCTCAACTCAGGACTCGGTGATGACCTGGTGGGCTGGGACGGGAGGTGGGGCAGGGAGGTCCTATATGAATACATATGGTGGATTCACAATGTTGTACAGCAGAAACCAACACATTGTCATGCAATTATCCTCCAATTAAAAAATATATTGGTGGAATTTTCTGAAAACTCTTAAAAACTGGTAACAAGCATTATTCCACATAGTGTTCAATGTGGGTGTTTGATTGATAAAATGCATTTAGGGATCTGCTCTTCCATCTCCATCTTCAAACCATCCTGACTTTGGCTGAAAGCATCTTTACTTCTATAGACTTTCCTTGGTTGACTCCTCATCAGAGCAGAAAATACTTTGAAACAATTAGAGCAATGTGCTTCCGTGGTAGCTCAGCTGGTAGAGAATCCACCGCAATGCAGGAGACCCCAGTTTGATTCCTGGGTTGGGAAGATCCCCTGGAAAAGGGATAGGCTCCCCACTCTAGTTTTCTTGGGCTTCCCTCGTGGCTTAGAAGGTAAAGAATCCCCTTGCAATGCAAGAGATCTAGATTCAATCCCTGGTTTGGGAAGATCCCCTGGAGGAGGACATGGCAACCCACTCCAGTATTCTTGCCTGGAGAATACTATGGACAGAGGAGCCTGGCAGTCTATAGCCCATGGGGTTGCAAAGAGTCAGACATGACTGAGCAGAACAAGAAAGATATGCTTCTTATACATGACCCTGAGGAATCACACAAATATTCTCAAATTGTTGGCTTTTTTTTCCCCATATTTTAAATGACGTGTCTCCACCAGTGAGTCCGTTCTCATCCACGGGCCATTTCACTTCTCAAAGTTTGTGCCTCCTTATATCTCCTCTTAATTCATGTTTATCAGTAAGACAAAGGTAAACTAACACTAAAACAAGGAAAAACAAAGCAATTAACAGAACATTTTCTAAGTGAAAACAGTCTGTGTTTAGTCTGATGTCAGATTATAGCATACAGAGAGCATCATTTAAGTTTCTCTAGAAAACCAGTGAAAAAGGTTTTAACTAGTAGAAGTTCTGTTGAACAAAGATTTCATGTATTATAAGGTCATTTGTCTAAATCTGATAATCGTTTTTCATTTGGTCTTTAAAGTTTGTTTACATGACTTGTTACAGAGGAAACTCAGCAGATTTATTTATTTATTTTTTTTTTTGGAATTTTTCTGTTAAATAGTAGTTCTGTTTAATTTCCTCTACATAGGCATCACTTCACGTGACTGGATAAACATGATCACATAGGTGGTGATTTTTGTGCTCTTTGTGATTTGGTTCCATCCCCCACCCCATTTCCCCTATAAATTCTCCCTTTCCCCTTTATAACCAGGTTAACTAATAACTTTTGTACTTAACTGCACACTTCTTGTGTGCCAAGAGCTTTTCTTTTTTTTTTTTTTTAAATTTATTTATTTATTTATTTATTTTACCACAACCATAGTGTATCTTTTTTTTTTTTTTTTTACATGTATTCCCCATCCCGGTCCCCCCCCCCCACCTCCCTCTCCACCCAATCCCTCTGGGTCTTCCCAGTGCACCAGGCCCGAGCACTTGTCTCATGCACCCAACCTGGGCTGGTGAACTGTTTTACCCTAGATAATATACGTGTTTCAATGCTGTTCTCTTGAAACATCCCACCCTCGCCTTCTCCCAGAGTCCACAAGTCTGTTCTATACATAGGAGTCTCTTTTTCTGTTTTGCACATAGGGTTATCGTTACCATCTTTCTAAATTCCATATATATGTGTTAGTATACTGTAATGGTCTTTATCTTTCTGGCTTACTTCGCTCTGTATAATGGGCTCCAGTTTCATCCATCTCATTAGAACTGATTCAAATGAATTCTTTTTAATGGCTGAGTAATATTCCATGGTGTATATGTACCACAGCTTCCTCATCCATTCATCTGCTGATGGGCATCTAGGTTGCTTCCAGGTCCTGGCTATTATAAACAGTGCTGCGATGAACATTGGGGTACACGTGTCTCTTTCAGATCTGTTTTCCTCGGTGTGTATGCCCAGAAGTGGGATTGCTGGTTTATATGGCAGTTCTATTTCCAGCTTTTTAAGAAATCTCCACACTGTTTTCCATAGTGGCTGTACTAATTTGCATTCCCACCAACAGTGTAAGAGGGTTCCCTTTTCTCCACACCCTCTCCAGCATTTATTGCTTGTAGACTTTTGGATAGCAGCCATCCTGACTGGTGTGTAATGGTACCTCATTGTGGTTTTGATTTGCATTTCTCTGATAATGAGTGATGTTGAGCATCTTTTCATGTGTTTGTTAGCCATCTGTATGTCTTCCTTGGAGAAATGTCTGTTCAGTTCTTTGGCCCATTTTTTGATTGGGTCATTTATTTATTTTAAATTTTTATGACATTTCACTCAACAGTGGTGATGGCAGTATAGTCACTAAGTCGTGTCTGACTCTTGGGACCCCATGGCCTGCAGCCCGCCTACCAGGCTTCTCTGACCATGGGATTCTCCAGGCAAGAATACTGGAGTGGGCTGCCTTTTCCTTCTCCAATTCACTCAATAAATGGTCTTAAATGTTTATTTTATTTGTAGTCCTCACTGAAACAATCTTGATAATATACAATACCCTTTAATGTCTGAATATTCCATCCCCTCTGTTCTCTTATGTGTTAAAACAAATATAATATGAAGTGAAAGTGAATAATGAAAGAAGTTACAAAAAGTTATGCTGTACATTCTCGATAGATTGTGTGGGATCAGAGGCTTTTCATTTCTCATCAAGAGAATATGATTAAGTTGAAATATTTCTGAAATGTTTGCATATGAAATTTGGGACATTTTTGACAGAATTTTTAAAAAAGCATTCCTAATTGGTGCTTGATATGCAATGATTATAGTGTGTCAACAAAATAGTTTACTCTTAGTTTACTCACTAAGAAGAGAGTCCCATAAACCTGGAGTTCTTGTATTACATCATCTTTGCTGATCTCACTTTTCTTTGTTTATTTTTGCAGATTAAAAAAATCAACAGAAACTTTCCCGTAAACCAGCAGGTAAGATGGAGAAACACTTGCAAAGCCAAATTGTATATTTCTTTCATTTTATCTGTTACAAATGATAATTTTGATTGCCTTTAGTTTTATGTGGAAATAATTGGCACCAATTATTAATTAATTAATTAGTAGTATTTGCTATTTCAGGAAAATATGAATTTATTAGATTTCTTTCATATTATGTAATATATCTGTTTTTTCTAATCATATTGAAAACAGTTAAAGAAAAGCTTTTTATCTAAGTGAATTAAGTCAAAACTATTTTAACAAAATATATTTATTTGAATGCAATGTTGAAGAACTTGGACAGCTGTTTACATGTAGTTGTAATAAGAGACCTATGTAGAATTAATCTAAAAGTTAAAGGAAATTTCACAATTGGCTGACAGTATTGAAAATGAGTCTAAATTAATGCATGGAATGAGACTAATGTCTGAATAATCAAGCTAAGAATTTACTTGACTTATTAGAGTAATAATTGAAGATAGGATAAAATTATTGGTCGTAAGAATAACTGACTCCCCTTGTAATTTTATTGCACTAAACTTAACTTCTATTGCTTTCACAACCATAATATAAGCATTAGCTATTAATAGAATAAGGAAAGGAAGTGAAGGCTCAACGCCTGGATCACTGAGCTGCCCCGTCCAGTGTGGGGACAGGGGCGGGGCTCTGTGGCAGGACGCAGACCCTGGCTCCCCATGGCGATCCCAGCCCACAGCCACTGACCACAGTCTAAACATCGACGACATCGATTCCTAAATGGCATACTCACCACTAGTTAGTTTCCATGGTAAAATTTTAAAATAACCTTCAGTTTGTTAAAACCAAGTTCCTTTTCGTCTAAGCCTGGGGTCCCACATCAGTAGCATCTGCATAAGGGCAGCCATCTCAGGTGTGTTTAGAAAGTTAAACGAGAACAAAGGTAAATTTCTCAATATATGCCGTTGTTTGCATCCGTGTGTCAGATACGTGTGTTCCCTGCAACAGAGAACTTATGTTCTGGGGTAGGTTCTTGTATTGTTGTAATGTTCAGGGTGCCCCTTGCCCGGGCCGCCCACAGAGCCCATGTAGCTGAGTGAGGTGGTAGGAAGCTTTGCAGGGCCTGCTGTGCCTACAGCCCTGACCTGTCTTGCTTGGGGTGAGGCTGGGGGAACCAGTTCCCCTCCCTCGGGCCCCCTGCCTCTGAGCCACGTGACACTCTTGGCAGATACAGGGTTGGAGGGGTGTCTGTGCCTCCCACAACCACAGCTAGTAGGAGCACATGGGGCTTGTTCACGGGCAGAGACCAGGCTCAGCCCAGAGCATCTGGCTCACTTGCTCTGAGGTAATGCCTGGGACACTGGGGCATCGCTCCATCCCCAGCAGGTGACTCTGAGGCTGGAATGCACAGGTCACATCTGGGAAAACAGTTTACAGCTTCACGGGGCTGAACAGGAGGGAAAAGCCAGTCATTAAGGATAGATCATTTAACTGGAAGCCTCAGCTCTGAGGGAAGTTTGCAATGCCCAGGAATAGATGGGGTTGTTTTATAGTCAGAAGTGTAAAAATGTAGACCTGCTCTTTTGGGGAATTCTTGCCAAAAATACAAATGAAGAGTGTTTCTTTAAAAGTGACTCTAATATTTACATTATCACCTCTTTTGCCCCTTCAACCATCAGCAGGTGACGTATCAATGATTAGTCTAATTTCATCACTAGGAATGTTTCCTAACCCTGACTAGCCCACAGCTATGCTTTATTTACCATGATGACAACCATGTGGAACACTCACTTACACATTCCCTTCAGGGACCTGTCTCATTCCTCACCACCTCTGCTTTTATCTAGGTTTTGAATAATGCTGAGCAAAGTCAGTAAAAATCTGGAAAACCTTGAATATAGAAGAAATCAAAAACTTTAATATTCTAACTCACATATAATAAATACAGATAAGCCTTAGCATCCATGGTTGTTTATCTGCTAGCCTTTCAATATTATGATTATAATGAAGTCTCTTTTTTGAAATATCTTTCAAATCTCTTAGCATCTCACAATTTGAAATCACAATGAATTCTAGACACTTTAACAACTAAAAGCTACAGCTAATAGATTTTTCCCTCACTACTTCCCACCTTGTAAATGAAGTCTTTTGGGATATAGGATTACTTTATAGTTCAACCTTCATATATATGCTTAATAGGAAGAACTCACCCACATAGTGTAATAGCAGTGCATTAAGAGATCAGGGTACATCTTCTGCCTAAAATCTGATCCACTTCAAGGAACAAAAATTGAAAATTATATGTAATCTCATTTCTCATTGAGATTTAGCACTCAAACTCTTACCTTGGACTAGTTGCTTTCATCTCAAATTTCTTCAAACTTAATTTTCAGGTAGCATTCTCTGATGCTCAGATTTTATATAAGTATATATGTTTATATATATCCTTTTTATTAAATAACTCAGACATAATGTTACAGTATTCAAGTCCCCTCATAGCCATGATACTCTGGGTCTTAAACAAAACCAAAAATACCTCAGCTGGAATACATTAGAACAGAAGTCTTCTGCCTCCTGTGGGGTTTGGTTTTGACTTTGTGCAGCCACTGTGGTACTGGTACCCCAACCAGAGAAATTAAAAACAAAATGCAAAGGGGTTGGAACTGGAGAAAGTCACTGCACCCAGCAGAGGAGAGGCCAGCACTGTGGACTGAGTCTCCAGAGACACCCCCATGCTCCAGAGCACAGCAGACTCTCAGTAAGATCATCTCAGAGAAGAATATTTTTATCAGAAATATAAGCCATTTGAGCAAATAAACCATCATAAGGAAAAACACACTGTGAAGATTAAGGAACAATCCACGACTATTTTAAATTATCTATTTTTTTTAAGTAAGGTGGTATAAAATGTAAGACAAGAACAGGAAGTGGTATCAAAAATTGTGGATTTGCAAAACAACTTGACAGAAGTTCAAAAATGAATAAAGCATGAATATGTTTAAGTGTATAATCAACTAGCCAACTGAATAATAGAACAGATAAAGATAATGATAAAACATGTAATTGGAAGTAGTATATCTGAGAGTACCATCAGAATGCAGCCTATACAGAAAGGGCTGAAAATATGAAAAACGATGTAAGAGTTGAAGTTTAGAATGAGAGGTTCCAAAAAGAAAAATTCTGCAGAAAGACTGGAGACGACGAACTTGTGAAGAGATCTGATGGCTAAGAGTTTCTATAAGACTTGAGATTAGAGAACCACGCTAACCCTGGAGCATGGTGAAGAAGACCAGATCTACAACTGGAACGTCCCACCAGTGGGGTAAGCTGGCTCTCCTGGTGCTAGTCTGGAAGCTTCTCCAAGAAAACATATGAGGTACCAGTGGGAAGTAAAGAAGAGGGACTATGTAAACCTCTACTTTTAATAAAGGGTGTAATAAAGGATGAAACTGACATATGTTATGTACAAGAAGATGCCTGATAAGCCGGTTGAGTGCCTACATCTGGGAGCAAGAGTAACAGCCCAGCCTCCTTCCCACGGGGAGGGTTTCCTCCCCAGCCTCCTGCATAAGCTCCTGCCTTCCCCCACCCCAGCCTAGATTCCTTCCGCTGTGACCTCTCTCACTTTCTTCCCCTCTTCAGTTCCTGCACCAGGACATTCCATTTCTGTTTTGAAGACAGATGTGTATTAGGTCTGTCCTTGTTCTTCCTACATTCTATTTTGCTTTTTGTGGACTGGAATCATCTCTGTCCACTTGGATACCTGGAGAAACGTGTGTGCTCACCATTTTCAGGATGCAGTTCTCTTATTGTGCATGAGGTTGAGCAACTTGAAATGACACTGGTATATCCCTTTGCTCGCCTTTCTCTACCCTTTTGAACATGTTCCTATTTTCTTCTTATTGTTTTCTTATTTATTTGTAAGCACTGTGTAATCAATACATGAAGGGAATTTAACCATTGCATTTTATGTCGCCTAAATCAGCAAGCTTTGTTAGTGGCTTATAGGATTTGTGTTGTACTTAAGAGTTTATCCATTCAAACAAAGGGAGAAGAACCAAATTAACAAAATTAGAAACGAAAATGGAGAGATCACAACAGACAACACCGAAATACAAAGGATCATAAGAGACTACTACCAGCAGCTCTATGCCAATAAAATGGACAACTTGGAAGAAATGGACAGGTTCTTAGAGAAGTATAACTTTCCAAAACTGAACCAGGAAGAAATAGAAGATCTTAACAAAACCATCACAAGCAAGGAAATCGAAACTGTAATCAGAAATCTTCCAGCAAACAAAAGCCCAGGACCAGATGGCTTCACAGCTGAATTCTACCAAAAATTTAGAGAAGAGCTAACACCTATCTTACTCAAACTCTTCCAGAAAATTGCAGAAGAAGGTAAACTTCCAAACTCATTCTATGAGGCCACCATCACCCTAATTCCAAAACCAGACAAAGATGCCACACAAAAAGAAAACTACAGGCCAATATCACTGATGAACATAGATGCAAAAATCCTTAACAAAATTCTAGCAAACAGAATCCAACAACATATGAAAAAAATCATACATCATGACCAAGTGGGCTTTATCCCAGGAATGCAAGGATTCTTTAATATCCGCAAATCAATCAATGTGTAATACACCACATTAACAAATTGAAAGATAAAAACCATATGATTATCTCAATAGATGCAGAAAAAGCCTTTGACAAAATTCAACATCCATTTATGATTAAAACTCTCCAGAAAGCAGGAATAGAAGGAACATACCTCAACATAATAAAAGCTATATATGACAAACCCACAGCAAGCATCACCCTCAATGGTGAAAAATTGAAAGCATTTCCCCTGAAATCAGGAACAAGACAAGGGTGCCCACTCTCACCACTACTATTCAACATAGTTTTGGAAGTGTTGGCCACAGCAATCAGGGCAGAAAAAGAAGTAAAAGGAATCCAGTTAGGAAAAGAAGAAGTGAAACTCGCTGTTTGCAGATGACATGATCCTCTACATA